GCCACCAAGGAAGAAATGCAACATAGAGATTCATGATGAACATATGGGGTTCATGATGAAGAAGTGGACGCAGCCACACAGGTTAGCCATAAACATGGACCGTGAACTGCAATCGAGCAGTTAAAGCCTCTCCTGTATGGAGGACGATGGCTGAAGTACAAATATGAGGAGGCCTGGCAAATTGACTTTATTACTCTCCCACTGACCCACCAAGGCAAGTGCCATGTGCTTACCATGGTGGAGGCAGCCACCGGATGGCTGGAAACATATGCTGTGCCCCACACCACTGGCCAGAATACTATCCTGGGCCTTGAGACACAAGTCTTATGGTGACATGGAACCCCAGAAAGAACAGAGTTAGACAATGGGGCTCATTTTCAGAATAACCTCATAGATATTTGGGCCAAAGAGAATGGCATGGAGTGGGTATATCACATCCCCTACTACGCACCAGCCTCTGCAAGATTGAATGAGACAATTTTGCGAAGTAGTGCTTACTCTTATCAAGGACTTTTCAGTCTCTCATGCTTTGCCAGTGAGGAGGGGAACAAGAAACTGGGAAGGAGCAAAGGCAGGAAACCTGACCTGAACTAGCCAAAGTCATATTCCATACCACAGAACATCATGCTAAGTATATAAACTGGGGGAGAGCTAGCAAAAAGCCACTGCAGTGACTGCTGCTCAGAGATGGGCTGGTCATCAATAAGCAGGTAGTGAGCGATTGGATTGTGCATCACTTGTGTTTCTTGAGATTTATTCTTCTCCATTGTGATATTATTATTATTATATTATATATTATATATATTATTATATATATATTACTATAAACTATTCTTATCTCAACCTGCAGGTTTTACCCTTTTCTGATTCTCCTCATAATCCCACCAGGAGGGAGGCTAGGAGTGAGTGAGTATCTGCATGGTACTTAATTGCTGGCTGGGATTAAACCATGACAAAGAGAAAGCTTTCTATTTGGTTTATTTACAGCACCTTTTGTTTATTTATAAATGCCCACTCTGAACTTCGGGAGCAAGAAGATTGTCAAGAAATTGAAGCTGCAGATGAAAGAAACTTACGAAATAATCCTGAGATGATCCATAAATATTCACCTCCTAGTAGTGGTAGGACAAGGGGTAATGGGTTAAAACTTAAACAGGGGAAGTTTAGATTGGATATAAGGAGGAAATTCTTTCCTGTTAGGGTAGTGAGGCACTGGAATAGGTTGTCCAGTGAGGTTGTGAGTGCTTCATCCCTGGCAGTGTTCAAGGCTAGGTTGGATGAGGCCTTGGGTGATATGGTTTAGGGCGAGGTGTCCCTGCCCATGGCAGGGGGTTGGAACTTGATGATCTTAAGGTCCTTTCCAACCCTAACTATTCTATGATTCTATGATTCTAAAACTTACTATAACTACACAAAAATGGTTTCATACTAGAAGACAGAGCACGGAGGCTGAACATGGAGTCTTTGAGAGAGTAGGGGCTAGGCAAAAAAAGTTTAGACTGGGAAAGCAAAACTCATACAGTGCTTGGAGGGAAAAGGGAGATTTCAGGCTATGAAACTGGAAATTGAAACGGAGGTGTTAACTTAGAAACTGTTATTTCTGTTACATGCTGTTATGTAATGAAATTTTTGATGACACAGAATTATTATTCCGCATGTGGAATAAACTGACCAGAAAGGTTGATGTGTCTATCTTTACTACAGCAATATAAGAAGACAGAAACAAACTTTGTTATGCAACTATGGAGGTACTGGGTTTGGCTGGCAAGATTTCGGAAGCAGGGAGACTGCAAAGATGGCTTGTGTGACAAGATGCCAGAAGCTTCTCCCGTGTCAAGTACAGACACTTTTAATTGGCTCCAAGATAGACCAAAGATGGCCAAAGCTGAGCTAAACAGTGATGGCGATAATGGCTCTGTGGTAACATATCTAATAAAGAATAAAGTATTGCTCAACAGCAGCTGAGAGAGAGGAATGAGAATATTTGAGAGCAACAGCTCTGCAGACACCAAGGTCAGTGAAGAAGCTGGAGCAGAGATTGCCCTGCAGCCCTTGGTTAAGACCGGAAGGCTGTCACCCTGCAACACATAGAGGTCCATGGTAAAGCACACAATTCACGAACAGCCTGTGGAGGACCCTATGCTGAAACAGTTCACCAAGAACTGTAGCCTGTGGAAAGGACTCACATTAGAAAAGGTCATAGAGGTCTGTCTTCTGTGGGTGGAACTCCACAATGGAACAGGGGAAGAATGTGAAGAGAAAGGAGCAGCAGAAACAATGCATGATGAACTGACTGCAACCCCCATTCCTTGTCCCCCCCTGCACCCTTTCTGTAGACAACAGACGTTTTTCAAAGCTTGGTCATAAATGGATTTCTAAAGTAATCAGTGAATTTAAAAAGTTCTGTTCAGGCTGTCTCCCCAGATGGCTTGTAATCTGATGTTTTTAAAAAGTTACATTATTTCGGACATGCATGTCATCATTATTAAGATCCTAAATCCCTGCTCCCCTGGCTCTGGAGTGAGAAACCTGCCTTGGCAGAGAGCACTGAGAAGTCCATGTAACGACTGCTGTCCCCCATGTGGGCAGTGACACCATTTTGTGCCAGCCTCCTCATTCCCACCAATATCACCAGAGCTATATCACAGTATCACAGTATCACAGTATGTTAGAGATTGGAAGGGACCTCAAAAGATCATCTAGTCCAATCCCCCTGCCAGAGCAGGAACACCTAGATAAGGTTACACAGGAACGTGTCCAGGCAGGTTTTGAATGTCTCCAGAGAAGGAGACTCCACAACCTCCCTGGGCAGCCTGTTCCAGTGTTCCGTCACCCTCACTGAGAAGAAGTTTCTTCTCAAGTTTAAATGGAACCTCTTGTGTTCCAGTTTGTACCCATTGCCCCTTGTCCTATCATTGTTTGCCACTGAGAAGAGCCTGGCTCCATCCTTGTGACACTCCTCCTTTATATATTTATATACACTAATAAGGTCACCCCTCAATCTCCTCTTCTCCAAACTATAGAGACCCAGCTCCCTCAGTCTTTCCTTATAAGGGAGATGCTCCACTCCCTTAATCATCTTAGTTGCCCTGTGCTGGACTCTCTCCAGCAGGTCCCTGTCCTTCTTAAACCGAGGGGTCCAGAACTGGACACAATATTCCAGATGAGGTCTCACCAGGGCAGAGTAGAGGGGAAGGAGGACCTCTCTCGACCTACTAACCACCCCCTTTCTAATACACCCCAGGATGCCACTGGCCCTCTCGGCCACAAGGGCACAGTGTCGGCTCATGGTCATCCTGTCATCCACTAGGACCTAATACTTCCCTGGATCAGAGCAAAGGATGATATAGAGGCACATGGACAATACAAGAGTGAATGATGACAGCCAAAATGGTTTCACCAAAGTCAAATCATACCCGAGAAATGTGGTGCCCTTCTATGACGAGGCTACATTGCATGGATAAGGGAAGAGTGACTGAGGTCATCTACCTGGATGTGCAAGGCGTTTGACACTGTCCTGCACAACATCATTGTCTCTAAATTAGAGAGGCATGGATCTGGCAGATGGACAACCCCCTGGATAAGGAATTGGCTGGATGGTCGCACTCTAAGAGTTGTGGTCAGTGACCCAATGACCAACTGGAGATCAGTGACAAGTGGTGTTCCTCAGGGGTTGGTACTGGAACTGGAGCTGTTCAACGTCTTTGTTGGCAACATGGACAGTGGGGTTGAGTGCCCTCAGCAAGTTTGTTGACAACACTAAGATGTGGTGTGGTCAACATGCTGGAGAGAAGGGGTGGGATCCAAAGGGACCTTGACATGCTTGAGAGGTGGGCCAGTCAAACCTCTGGAAGTTCAACGAAGCCCAGTGCAATGTCCTACACCTGGTTTCGGAAAATCCCAAGCACAAATGCAGGCTGGGCACGGACTGGGTTAAGAGCAGCCCTGAGAAGGACTTTGGGATATGAGCCGGCAGTGTGCGCTCACAGCCCAGAAAGCCAGTGCGTGCTGGGCTGCAGCAAATGGTGCGTGACCAGCAGCTCAAAGGAGTTTTCCCTGCCTCTCTACTCTGCTCTCATGAGACCTGACCTACAGTGCTGCATCCAGCTCTGAGGCCCACAGCACAAAGAGGGACATGTACCTGCCCGAGTGAGTCCAGAGGAGGGCCAGGGAGATGATCAGAGACCTGAAGCACGTCCGCTATGGAGACACGCTGAGAGCTGGGTTTGTTACACCTAGAGAAAGCGCTGGGGAGACCTTAGAGTAGCTTACAATACCTAAAGGGGCCTACAAGAAATGTGGAGAGGGACTTTTCACAAGGGCGTGTAGGGATGGGATAACTGGTAATGTCTTTAAACTGAAAAAGGGGAGATAGCTGTAAGTTAGATGAAAGGAAGTTCTTGACTGTCAGGGTGGTGATACACTCATAGAGGTTGCCCAGAGAAGCTGTGGCTGCCCCATCCCTCACAGTGTTCAAGGACAGGTTGGACAGGCCTTTGAGCAACCTGGTCTTGTGAAAAGTTTCCCTGGACATGGCGGAGGGGTTGTAACTGGATGATCTCTAAGGTCCTTTCCAACCCACCGCATTCTATGACTCTATGATACCCTGAAACTGGCCCCAGGGCTGCCACCGTGGTGAGCGATGGCAGCGCGGGCACCACTCTAGCTGCCACGGAGGGGGAGCGATGATGCAGTTACCCCAGTGCGCGTTCGCGCAGGTACCGCACTCCTTGCCATGTTGGAGAGTTAACACGGGGGTCCCGGTATCCGCCATGGCGAGCGATGCTGAGCGAGCGGCTGCGAATCGAGGCGTAGCGGCTAGAGTGCGTCAGCGGTGAGGGGCGGGGCGCCCGCCGAGGGATATGATATCAGGCGCCGGGCAGCCGAGCCGAGCTAAGCTAGGGATGAGCTGCGGGGGGTGTGATCGCTGCTAGGGAGTCTGGACGCCGCCTCGTTGTTCTCCTCCTCCTTCTTTTCCTCCTCCTTCTTTTCCTCCTCCATTCATTCTCGTCTGCTGCTCGCTGGCGGCCGCAGCGGTATGGCTGCCCGGCTGGCTGAGGTGAGGCGGGGCACCGTGTGAGGAGTAACCTGCTGGGGCAGGCGGACGGAGTGACTGGGAGCCCAGCTGCAGTGGCCGGGGGCAGGGTGGCAGGCCCGGGCGGGCGCGGGGCGCGCTGCCCAGCAGGAGGCAGGTGGGCGGGCCGGGGCGCCTGCGGCAGTTGCAGAGCCGCGGGAGGGGGGAGGCAGGCAGGCAGGGGCGGCTCTGTCAAGCGGTGGCGCCGGGCAGGCTGCCGCGGCGGAGGGCTACCTTGCTCGGCCTTCCCTCTGGCGCGCCCGCTACCCTTCGCCTGGCCTGGCCTGGCCTGGCCTCGCCTTCCCGTGGTCCACCTGGGGTTAGAGTGGTGTCGAGTTAGGTGTGAGTTTTGGTCCAGGCCACTCTGTGTTGCCTAGGGCCAGCCATTTTTTGTGGGGTATCTACTGTAGCTTTGTAATTTACGGGTTACAGCCACATACGCATGAAAAAATCTATATACATGCATACACCTTTATGCGTATCTATGAAAGTGATTATTGCAATGCTACAGTACTCCCCTCCAAGATGGCTCTGTGCATGCAAGTATGTGCAGATAAATGAGGACATGCACAGTCACAGTCTTCTGTTTTCCTGCATATGGTGTGTGTATTTTGAATTTTATTTTGAGGTGGGGTTGTTTCTTCCCTCTTAAGGGGAAACACCACGCCTGAGATAGCTGTTGACGTAGCATTACTATCCTGCTTATGGAGTGTTAATTCCAGCCTGAGAAAGTGGGTTACTCTGGGAGCTAAAGATTTTACTAGCATCAGTGGAAACCAAAATAACTATGTCGTTTATTTTATATACATATTAATGTACTATTTAGAGGAAACCATTAAAGAGTGATCTTTAAGCTCCTCTGGGCTGTGGAGTTCTCAGTATTAATAGAGAGAAATTTGGAAAACTAGCCTGTGGTGTGGAGACAGTCTCCAGCTGATAGTTTTCTTGTGTATGTGTGTGCAGCAGAAAGGAGGGAACTGTTCTGCTTAAGTGCAGCTGCATTTTTTGTGTGTTGGGCTGCACCACTGGTCATAGTCTGGTATATAACCCACCAGATTTTAAGGGCAATAAGTATTGTGGCAGTATATTGATCAGTATAATAAAATCAGTGCTGCTTCATTGGAGGACCTATAAAAGATTGCTGTAGGTGATTCATCATGGTCTCACTTCTTCAGACTTCTCCTATGCTGCATCTTCTCTCTGTTTTCTTAACCACACTGGCACCTTTCTTGTTAAATTGATCTCTGATTGACTTAGATACTGAAGAACTTTGATGAATATGTATAGGCGTATGGTGCAACCTTATAAATGTAGAGGGGAAACAACACTGAGGCACGCATGACTTTGAGGAATTATCCTTATGTGTCTCAGCTCTGAATCAAAAGCATACCTACTTTACAACTTTAACGAGTTGTGGAGTCAGTCCGCGGATCAACTTCTCATTCCTTGTCTTAATGATGGCTACTAAGAAAACATTTCTGTTTCATAGAGGGGAAGGAAGCATTAGGGCACAGAGTGGTTTATACTTTAAATGTTAAAATTCAGGTGATGTTAACCTCAATCATCTTCTCAATTTCAGTACCGTTTTATGAACGAAAAGCTGCTGAGAACTCTGTTATAGCAGATGGATGTTGCTTACCCTTACCTTGCATTGCATCTTGCTTCACATCTGCTCCGTGGCAAAACATGCCTTTCCTTACTCTTGTGGAAGATATATAATTAAAATGGGATTCTTCTGTACTTTTCCAATATACTCTCTCAATACTGTGTGATCAGGACACGCAGTACAAAGTTTTTCTGGAGTGTTTCATAACTGTCTCCTTTACAAAGAGGCATTACTCTGAGAATTTTCTTGGAAAATACTTATAATTTCTTCTGCATGCATATTTGGGTAGATAAATTCTCTGCACTGTAATAATTAAAACCATGTCTTTTTGTGTGCGCTATTTTTTTTAATTAGTATTGTAAAGATAACACAACTCAGAATGAACTTTAAATTCTCCTTGCTTACCTAAACATCCTATCTGTGCATATTGCTTTAAATAGCTACCTATGTGTAACAGGTAACTGCATACCTATTGCAGTGCAGAATCTTTGCCAGTGAAAGATGGAAATTCACTTCAGTGTTAAGGCTGACACTTACTGATGCTTTTGTTTTCATGTTTAAATCTGAAAAGTGGAAATGTTTGATAAGAAATCACTAAAAGAAGAACATGGAAAATTGGGGCTGTTAGAGAAACTCTTTGGAGTAGAAGAGCCTTGCTTACATTCTTAGCATTGTAATTAATCTCATCTCCTACCGATCAGTGAATATCTAGTAGTGGTAATCATTTAAAGGTGTTACCAATTATGATTCTAAACTTCAAATAAAAACACGACATTAGAGCTGAAATAATGCATGCTTAGACTTATGTTCACATTGCTATTCCTGAAATATTTCTCTATCCAAGATACTAACTTCTCATTTCCTAAACAGATAAATACCTTCCTCACGACTTGCAAGGCTGTGACCTTGGCATTAAATTGTACCAGCTATATATTCTAGACAGCCATAACCACCTTTTGATTTGTGAAATGTAAAGTTTGGGGCAGCAATGTTAGAGGTGCATGATTTCTTTAGAACAGCTTTCATCATGGAATGTCTCTTGAGTAATCATTTCATAGAGTGTTTAGAAGCAAAAAAACTTTTTCATACAGTAGAAACAGGTTTTGGAAAAAAAAAAAATTGGTCAAACAAAATTCACCCCTCTCAAACTTTTGCTTTCTGCTGTTACAGCAGATTAGACAATCCTTAGTGGAAAAGCCTGTTTTAATGTGTTCCCTCTACTGTGTTGTTTTAAATATGACTGAAAAGGCATGTGCAGTGTTGTCTTAGATCTCCTTTGGCATTCCTGCATTTTTTGATTTTTTTTTTGTCTGCTTCTACTGACTTTAAAACAAAAAAAAAAAAGTTGAACGATAGGATGTGGCAGTGTGTATTTATATATATTTAGTTGGTGTTCTCCAGTGAGCCTGTGATTTCAAATAAGTTTTAAAAATAACTCCGTAAAATGTGTAAAAGAACCCTGTTCCAAAAGAGTGATGAGCTTTCACATCTTCCCTAAAATTTCACTAGAATTAGTGAGAATAGTCAGGATTAATGTAACTTCGTTTTCAAAGTTAACTGGAAAACTTACTAGTGTTTTAAATATATGTATGTACTAAATGATTCTTTGGATTGAAAATGTAGGAAGATGCATTTGTCTGAATTGTGTACTGAACTCTGTGTTAGACAGCTATTCAAAGTAACATTTTAGGCTTTTTTATTCATTTTCAAATCTTAGGTGTTCCTCTCTTGGTACTATATTTTGTTTTGTTGTAAGGTAACATTTTATGAGCTTCTTATAAACTGTAGAACAGGGGACCTGCGTGTTTACAGTGCATTTAACCTTCTGCTTATGGTTATAAATTGTCTATAAGCCAGGATGAGTTGAATTCATTGTTAACCTTTCTTCCGTGCTTCATCAAAACAAGTAAGTTGGTTAGATAGGTTTCTTTAATTTTATGGATCATTGAAGAGAACAAATAATTGGAAAAGATGTGGTCTGTGTCTAATCTTTAGCCCCTGAGACAGTCCTGAAGATTGCACCCTGTTCAGAAGTTTGAGTGTAGCAGTGGTTGCGAGCCTGCTGCTGCACTGGCCTTTCCCAAGCACTGGGTACTAATGAGCTTTGAATTGTATGGAATGTTGTATTAACCCTAACTGACTTTATACTTCTCATACACCAGCTATAAAAATAAGAAATGTGTTCAGGTTAGCAAATGCATTGCTAAAAGACCAATCTTTTATTTAGCTCTTCTGCAGGTAGCAAATCCTGCAGTTGTAAAGGCTTCCTAGCTTGGATAATGTTTGTCACAGCTGTTGTAGAATTAGCCAACAATAGACATACCTTTGGGGAATTTGAATGATTTCTGAGTTGATAATGATAAAATAGTTGGGAATGTTGAACAATAACAATGTAAATGTTATTGCAGTGCAGCACAGACAACTTAAAAGGGTTTTAAAATGTTGGAGTATTTCTTTTGAAATCTTTGCAGCAGTGGGAGTTTGTTGTCAACCTTTACTCTGAAGCTGCAGAACGCAGTTATGAAGAAATAGAAGAAAACAACCTGATGCCTGCAACTGAGGCTTAAAGCTGAACACTAATTTAGGGCTAATAGAACTAATTGGCAATGTTAATACTGTTTCAGGTTTTTTTATACAGTACAGTATGGTGATCTGTCCAGAGGTATGACTCGCTTATCTTTTTTTCTAAACCCACTCCTAACAAGCAAGTAATGTCTGTTTTTCTGGAAAAAAATAGTTATTGAAGCTTTTACTGCACTTCTGGAAAAAAAAAATCAAGTACATCTGTAATAGGATAGCTTGGGTACTTGGAGGTGTAGCTTAGAAGTCTGAACCTTGCATATTATATATATATTACAGTGAGAATCAAGGGAGATGTGGTCCATTTACAGAAATGTGTAAGGTGGTCTTCAAAGGATGTCAAGATGGTTGATGATGGCTATAAGGACAGGATGACACCAGGGAGGTGTTTGTGTGTGAATTCCTTTCCACTACTAGAGACATTCTTGTTAACATTCTCAGACATAGAACTTCAGACCTGTAGTAACATGTTTATTGATAGCTGCCGAATGCATGGTACCAAATGTTTGGGGCTTTTTCATAATGCAACTGGGAAAGGTTGAACTAAACCAGCAGTGCTATATGCAGACAGCTGTGGGGAACAATGAACCATCTGCAAGTACAAAACTGCTGAAGGCAAAGGCAAATGCAGAGCTGCTCAGGAATGTGGTCTCTCTACTAAAGATTTTTCTAAGTGTTTGTTCTGACAGGAGTAAGTTTGGACAGTGGGGAAGGTGGTATGCTCTGAGCTGCTGCTTATGGTGTGATCCTGTTGGAAAGCTTGAGAAGAGGGATTAAGTCATCTGATGTCTGAACAGAT